GACAGAGCTGAGTTTAGGTCCCAGTACCAGCACACACACACACACAAACACACACATACACACACACACAAAACACAACACACATGTGCATGAGCACACACACATACAATGTGTATGCGCACAAACAATAATATACATTTAGCAAATTTTGAAACTTATTTATAATTAGATATATACTAATACTCAGGAAAGATGAAAAGATTTCACAAGGAACTAAAGCCATAAGTTAGGAATATAAAATATATGAAACCAGTAAGGACTTGTTAATGCTAGGCAAAGTGCTCTACCATTAAGCTACATCCCTAACTCCATTTCCTCCTTTCTCTCACTGTATCTTCTTCAATCTTCTTCCAGCTCTGGGCTGAATAATCTTCTCAGCTTTCCTGTCCATAAGCAGCCTCAGTGTGGAAGAGCAGCTGAATGTGGTTGGCTATGTGGGCAAAGTCACATAGCAAAAGCTCTGTGGGAGCACTTGCCAACAACATGTGAGTTCACAATAGTTGCTGCTCACGTGTAGGTGCGCATGTATGTGTGCACGTGTGTATGTATGTATTCATATATGCATATGTGTATGCAGTATGTGTGTGTGTGTGCATGTGTATGTGTGTGCATGTATCACACACAGCACTGGGACTTGAACTTGAGGCCTCTACTTTTAGCTTTTTACACCTAAAAACTGGAGTTCTACGACTTGAGAAACATTCCCAAATCCATGTATGTATGCATATATGCATTGTGTATGTGTATATGCATGTGTATGTGTGCAGGTATGCACACACAGCACAGGGGCTTGAACTCGGGCCTCTACTCTTAGTTTTTTACCCTTAAAAACCAGATTTCTACCACTTGAGAAACATTCCTAAATCCAGGTTTTTTTGCTGGTTAATTGAAGATAAGAGTCTCTGATGTGTCTGCCTGATTGGCTGACTTTGAATCTTGTAACGTGTTTAATATAGCATTAATTTACTCCAAATATTAAATAGTATAGCTATCACTTGTAAAGATCCCCAATCCCTTTATCCTCAGCTTTCAAGCCAAGAGCTTGGAAAATGGAAAGTTTTTTGTTAGTTTTTTAGTTAAATTATTAGATGTCAAAATTGAGGTAGAGCAGAAAACTCTTAATATTTATTCCATTTGGTATGACAATGTGCATAATTTTGCTAGTATTACTTATTAGCTGTATAAAATAATGACTTGCTATTATATTCTTATACGTATTTACTGTGACCTTCCATCATACTCATTTCCCTACATCCTCTCTTGTTCCCTCCACTCTCTCCCCTTAAACAATTGCCCTCTATTTGTCTTTCTGAGTTTGGTTTCTTTTCTTTGGCATGATGGTCTCCAATTGCATCCATTTTCCTGCATAATTTCTTTCTTTCTTCTTTTTTTGTTGCTGGAAATAGGATTTGAACTCAGGGTCCTGTACTTGCTAGACAGGTGCTCTACAACTTAAGACATACCCCTAACTTTTAATTATTTTTAATAGGCATTGCTGGTCACAGCCACTATTTATACTTTTATATATTTTATTCCTCCTAGTTTCACTACTCATGTAACCTGGATGATAAGTGTATACCACTGTACTCAGCATTTTATTGGTTGAGATGGGTATTTCTAATTTTTCCTGGGCTAACCTCAAACCACAATGTTCCCAGTCTCTTCCACTCTGTGGCACGAACCACTATGCTTCCTAGAATGTTGTTATTTCTGGAAGAATAATACTCTGTGTGTTTATAGACTACATTTGCTTTAGATTGCATCAGATTTAAAAGTTTCTGCTCAGAAAAGGAAAGAAATATCACAATAAAAGACAACCTACAGAATAAAGAACATTTCTGCCATCTGTCCACCTGACAGAGGATTAATATCTAGAATACAAAGATAAAAAACTCAAGCACCAAAAGAACAAGCATTATAATCGATAAATGAGAAAATGAATTAAACATTTCTCAAAAGAAGCGCAAATGGCTAAACTATATGTAAAAAATGTCCAGCAGTGTTGAAATAGAATAGGGGAATAAAAATCAAAACTGCTCTGATTCTATCTCACCCCAGTCATAATGGCCATCATCAAGAAAACAAACAAGAAATACTGATAAGAGTGAAGAGCAAGGGAATCCGAGTACACTATTGGTGGGAATGAAGACTAATCCGTTTATTATAGAAATCAGCATGGAGATTCCTCAAAAAACTAAAAATATATATGATCCTGCTACACCACTCATGGCCATATAGCTAAAGGAATGTAAGTCAATACACAATAAGATACACCTGTATGGCCATGGTCACCACAGCATTATTCCCAATAGCCAAATAACGGAACCAGTATAAGTGACCACCTGTGTCAGATGGCAGGGATTTTCTCCATTCTATAGGCTATGTTTTCATTCTCTTTCCCTTGCTGAGAAGAAACTATTTAATCTAATGCAGTCTCAAATGAGATTTATGTATGCATGTATTTTGCTACAGAAATGGCAGAATATTTGATTTTAGTATGTTGGTCAGAGCCCAGTGAGGATACTTCACAATACATGACATAGTCCCTTTATCTTTCTAATATCAAAGTTTGAATTCTTAACAGATAGAGTCTCAAGATGTTTTGATAAGAGATTAAAGTTTGCATGACTGTTGCTAAAAGTTTTAAATTTGGTTTAGCCTTTGGACGGCAAGCCTATGTAATACTAAAATCAATGTTTGAATATTGTTAACACAACAAACTTCTCACTGGTTTTTAGTCTTAAAAGATTTGAATTGTCCCTTCTCAAGTGAATGTCACACTGTTCAGCAACAGCAATAACAACCTAAACAAGGGATCTATACCAGTTATTAAATAGGTCAGAGAAGAAGTACATGGTATTTGGTCATTTTCTCATCCATATAATCATTGATTCAATAAACCTTTTACTCCCATGTTTTCTGTGTCTATATACTATAGATAAAACCTAAACAAATTCAAGGGAGGCATATGCAGCCCTGATATTAGTGATATCTAATTTGCTTCCTTTTTCTCAAAGTTATGATAGAAAGCACATGAAGGAAAGGAATTGCAAAAAGCCAGCTCCTACAGGGAGCTATTTACTTTATTGACACAGTAGACTCTTAAGTTTTTGTAGCTCTCCTTCACCAATGACAGGGATCTACAGGACTGGACTGCATGCCTGCATTTTACATGCTTGTAGTCTGCCTTTTCCTTAGAAGTCTGATCTCCAAGGCTAGCTCTCTGGCAAAGGAGACCAGGCAGAATGGATTTTGGCCTAATTGTGTCTGCTTATTGCAATACAATGTCCTTAGACTCCCAAGGGCTCTGCCCCAAAGCTTTTGCCTACACAGCCAACTGCATTTGGCAAGAAATCTAGCAGACAAAGCAGTGAGATTGGTTCCATTACTGTTCTGGCTTTGCAGTCTGTAGTGCTTTATGGCACAGGGCTCAGATTCTTTGGTTTTTCAAGACTTTTTATACTCAAGGAAGCAGGTACATTTAAAGACCTGGACTTCTTTATCAAAAACTGATTATATCTTCCATTAAGGATGCCCACAAAAGTCAGCCTTTCAAGCTGAAGTTTGTTTTATAGATGAAGAAACTAAGGTATTATCATTTGTATCTTTTTCCCTCCCAAACTCATGTTGAAATTTTATTGTTATTGTAAGAAGTGGGACAAGCCTGGATTACACACAGTTATTTCTGGTTCTCAGGAAGCTCAAGCAAGAAGATTGCAAATTCAACACTAACCTGGGCTCCATAGCAGAAGACTGTCTCAAAGAGCAGGGAGATCCAAGTGCTGGTGGTTCAGGCCCATAATCCTAGCTTCTCAGAAGGCTGAGATCTGAGGATCACAGTTCAAAGCCAGAAAGGGCAGGAAAGTCCATGAGACTCTTATCTCCAGTCATCTTCCAAATCCAGAAATGGAGCTGTGGCTCAAAGTGGTAAAGTGCTGGCCTCGAGCACAAAAGCTCAGAGACAACACGTAGGCCCCAAGTTCAAGCCCCAGGACAGACAAGAAAAAAAGAAAAGAGTAGGGAGGAAAGGAAGGAAGAGGAAGAGGGAGAGAGAAACATGCGACCATGAAAAATCATCATGAATGCAGTGATGTCATTGACAGAAGAAGAGCTATTTTACCAAAGGACAGGTTTGACCTTCTACAAAGGGATTCCTTCTGCCATGGTATGATGCATATGGAAGGCTCTTGCCAGATGACAGCCCCTTAATTTTGGACTTCCCAGACTCTGGAACTGTGAGAAATAAATTGCTTATTTTCCAAATTACTCAGTCTGTAGGACCCTACATCACAGAACAGAACAGGCTAAGAAGAAAGTCACCAAGAGGTGACACTCTGCTAAATCACTAGGTTCTTAAGTGTTCATAATAGAGAATAAACCCAGTCAACTGCAGACATGAGACCAAAGTTATACAAAATGATTTCCCCACTCCATTAGACAAATAGAGACATCTACTGACAGTGCAGAGAATGTGTTCAGCTCCACTTGGCTTGAGTGGGTCCTGGGATATGGGTAGAACTTTGCCAAGCATATTATGGATAGGCTTAGAGGGAACCAGGGACTGAATTCAGTCAGAACAAGATTCCCAAAGACAGACAGATTTATGACAACATTGGTAAGACCATAGGAGATCATTTTTTATGAAACTTAAAAAAGAATTTGGCTATGTAAAAAACAAAGGTAAAGTGGCTGTATGTTGAATCAAGGAGGGCCTCATTATCCAAGGTGCTTTTTTTTTTTATTAAAAATATGGGCTGGGCACTGGTGGCTCATGCCTGTAATTCTAGGTACTCAGGAGGCTGAGATCTGAGGATCAGCGTTCAAAGCCAGCCAGGGCAGGAAAGTCCCTGAGACTCTTATCTACAATAAACCACTCAGAGAGCCGGAAGTGGTGCTGTGGCTCAAGTGGTAGAGTGCTAGCCTTGAGCTGAAGAGCTAAGGGACAGCGCCCAGGCCCAGAGCCCCAGAGTTCAAGCCCCACGACCAGCAATAATAACAAAAAATATATGGAATGTTTTACAAATATGTGTGTTCTCATTGCTCAGGGGCCTGCTAATCGTCTCTCTATCATTCCAAGTTTAGTATATGTGTTGCTGAAGTGAGCACCCAAGGTGATTTTTAATCCATCCTGTAGACAAAGCCATGATCAGGGAGGCCGGTTAGCCATGAATTTAATGTAAGCAAATTTCCCCTTAAGAACATTATTCTCATGGCAGTGCTGGGAATGAATTGGAGGTAGATAGAGATCAGGTTTCCAGAAATTTTACAAGAATATTACAGCAGCCCAGGAAAGCTTGATCAATACAGTTCTTAATGCATTAGCAGTGGGAAGGAGAAGCCCAGTTTCTAGGGACATTCAAGATGGAGAAACATCAGGTACAAGTGCAATTGGATGAAAGGAGAGAGAAGCCCGGAAAAAGTCCCAGCTTTCTGACTTGCAGAATTACAATGACATATAGACATACCTTTGTTTCTGTTATCTTTTTAATTTCTGTTTTGATTACTTGCATAGGGCATCTATTGAGTGCCTCCTTTGAGCCAAAATCTCAAGTAAAAGCTAACAGTTGTAAGATGGGTTACAAAGAATGCTTTCCCTGGTTAGGGAGACAGACACATAGGTGGACAATTTCAACACAATGTAATAAATGTTATAAATACATGCACAAGAATCACTTTCTGGAAGTGTAATTACTCAGTTACACTTACCGAAGCATTTCTTAATCATCCTTGAGTTCTCAGTGAGGTGACCATTGCCTCTCAAATAGGAAGGACTGCGCATTGAGCTGGGTGGGTCCTTGGGTCAGTTAAGATCTCTTTAGATCTAGTAATTTCTTAGGAATCGTACAGGTTCCTATTTATCAGAGTGACTAATATATGCTAATCTCATGACTGTATATATTCTTGAACCCTTAGAGTTCATGTCTATAAAAATGCATGTTGAAACAGCAAGAAACCCGGGAAAATGGTTTCCCTTGTTTGCAAGGACTAGTACATGTCTAGGACAAGCAGAGAAGGTCAAAGGCTATGTACATATGACCATATAAGATGACGTTAAGCGAAAATGGTTTCCCTTGTTTGCAATGACTAGTACATGTCTAGGACAAGCAGAGAAGGTCAAAGGCTATGTACATATGACCATATAAGATGACGTTAAGCGAAATGTACCCCCAAGACAGAGGCACAAGTGTTTTTTTTCTTGCTTGCTATTGTTTTTAATGTACTTACAATGCACTATGTGATTCTTTTGTTTCTTTTGTATGTTCTTCCCCCACAGTATAACCCCTCTCCTCACTGGATTTGATGCTGGTGTTCTGCACCTTGTATATATATACTTTTGTAATTTGGGGAGGGGAGGGATATGGGGGAATGCGTAAATGGGGATGTATTGTGACAATGAGATGTACAGGACACTATGTTGAAAATGAACTTTACAATGTGGGGGGCGGCGGGGATGGAGGAGTTGGGGAGGTGGGGAGGGAAGGGATTGTAGGGGAAAAACAAAGGAGAAGGTAATAATGCCCAATAGGAAATGTACTCATTACTCTACTCATGTGACTGTAACCCCTTTGTACAGTATTTTTATAATAATATATATACAATAACATATAATTATATATATATACAATAATATAAATAATACATATACAATAATATATAATATGTATACAATAATATAATATATATACAATTATATATATATATATATATATATATATATATATATATATATATATATATATATGAAGAAACCTGGGATAGATCCTTCTTGACTTTGGGAAGCCCCACCATTTCATTGGAATCAGGAATTTCAGAATATAAAGACTCTAGAATCTTGTCAGAGAATATCACCTAGGTGAGGTAACCGATTCTTTGACCCTTACCTAAGATATCAACCTTCCCAACTTAATGAAATCATTAGACAAACTTTCCAAATGGTTATCCTGCCCTTGCTATCTCTGAAAAAAAATGGAGTAAAAAATTTCTTTTGGGGGAGGGAAGGGATGGTAGGGAAAAAACAAAGGAAGTAACAATGCTCGATAGGAAATGTACTCATTACCTTACTCGTGTAACTGTAACCCCTCTATACAGTATTTTTACAATTAAAAAAGCACAAAGTATTCCTTTGAACAATATTGTGTGCCTAATTAGGATACTCACAATAGGTTTTTAGTTCAAGTAACTTCTTCAGGTATTTATGAGAAAAAAGAAATAATGTGTGCTTTTTAGCCTCCTGTCACTTACAATCACTTAGTTTTAGTTGCGTTAGAAAGATTTGCATAGATTATTTCCAAGTCAAATTGTCCAAAACTTAACAAAACGTTCACACATTCAATTCTTCTCTATGCAATTCACAGAACACACAAGGTGTTTCCTGTTCCCTAAAGAGATGAAACTAATTTAGTGGTTTATATAGAAAACAGTCTGGTTCATAAGGCCTTAAATGAAACAATTCTGAATATATGCAAATATATACATTATAATTGTCCTACTTGCACTACAAAATTGTTCAATATTAATCATTGGCCTGATAAAAACACCTGTTTTTTCATGTTTAAAATTCTGTGGGTCATGAGATGTACAAGTCATTATGTCGAAAACGAACTTTACAACTTTGGTGTGGGGGGGGGGAGGGGGAGGAGATTGGGTGTGGGGGTGGGGGGAGGATGGGAAAGGGAAACAAAGGAGGAGGCTACAATGCTTGATGAGAAATGTACTCATTATCTTGCCCATGTAATTGTAACCCCTCTGTACAGTATTTTCACAATAAAAAAAATTGTGGTACCTAAAAATAAATAAATAAATTCTGTGGGTCAGAAATTAGGACAGGAAAACGTGGGGATAATTTGGTCTTCAGGTGATCAGCAGCAAAGCCAGAGCTGCCCTGGTATCTTGGGCTCGAGTCATTAAAGAACTGATGATTCAATGTCTGATTTATTGGCAATGATGACTTGAAGACTAGAACTACTGACCAGAGCACCTGTGCCTACTTTCTCTGTGAACTCCACTTCTAGGAGCATCATGATAGTTGGCATGACCTTGGCTAGGAAATCATACAGTGTCCCTGCCATCATACTCTATTGGTTGAAACAATGAAAACCCTGCCAGGATTGAAGTAGAGGAGAATTAAACTTCATATCGTAGTGTTGTGCTGGCAAGGGCACATTGGAGTAGAGCACATATGTGATGGGAGATGTCTTTGAAAGTTAGAACTTGATACTGTTATTATAATTTCATATAAATGGAATAAAATTTCCTTTTGAAAGCACTGCAATTTTTAATATTTTGATATGAAGAGCCAGAAATCTCAATATTCAAGCTCTAAGAGGTTTTTAATGTAGCTAAAGGCAGGAAGCTTCTGGGCTTAGCAGCGTACATTATAATCACTTTAAAAATCATATATAAGTAGTAAATGGTTTATTTCCCAGCTGTCCAAATGACATTTTAAGCAGGAATCAAGAATAGAAAAAGTGTACTTTCAGAATTTTTAGTTCACCTCACCTGCTTCAACAGGTCAGATGGACCACATCACTGGTATGGAGAGGCTATAGAAGCTTAAAAGAACAACAACTCCTAGTGTATTTTTCTGCCTTTGTATTTTTGTTTGTTTGTACATCTGCTTTTAGCCATGATAACATATTGCCTCATGGGAATAGAGTACAGATGCCCTCTACGTAAAGCTACGGCAAATGAACAACCACTGGCCAACAGGAAGAGTGAAAAGTGAAAAAAGCCTTTCAGTAAGGGAGGTGGGGAGTCGGAGAGGAAGCCACTGGCAGCAGTTGGCCAGGAGAGAGAGTTACCTGGGCCTGGGCCTAAACCTATGAGCTATTTAGCTACCTGAAATGTAGAGAAAGCAGAGTTTTAGGGAAATCTGGACCAGACAGGTTTTCCTTACAGTACAGAAGCTTAAAATTTTTTCAAATCCCACAGAAGAGGTAATACAGAATGGCCTAGGAATGCATCTAGTTATTAGAAGCTGAAAGCAGGCTCACATTCCCCACAGGTGGGCATATTGAAACAAAGGGTTCAGAGACCTAGAAAGACTTGAGCTTGGTCTTGGACACCATCAATAATAGGAACTTTGACTATGTACATAAAGCCTAAGGGAGTGACCACACAATGAATTTATATTGCTCAGCTCTAGGGATGCCCTGCTCCTGGCGCCTCTCTTGGTGCCTTTTTATTTTTTAATTTAATTTAATTTTGTTGTAAAGGTGATGTACAGAGGGGTTACAGTTACATAAGTAAGGTAATGAGTACATTTCTTTCCTTATTTTTGCCAGTTCTGGGGTTTGAACTCAGGGCCTGGGCACTGTCCCTGAGTTTCTTTATTTTTTGCTTAAGGCTAGTACTTTACCTCTTGAGCCAGCACCATTTCCAGCCTTTTGTGTTAATGTGTACTGAGGATCAAACCCAGGGCTTCATGCATGCTAGGCAAGCACTCTACCACTAAGCCACATTCCCACCCATGAGTACATTTCTTTTTGAACATTGCTACCTCCTTCCTCATTTTTGTCCCACTTGTGCCTCTTGTTAATGTTGGGACTTTATCACCACCGAAGTATGCGGTTTTTGTCTTTAAAAGTCTGATATAAGCTCTCTTCTGGGCTGCTGGTCTTTGAGACAGAAGTCCACCATGCAGTCGCTGTCCTTTTAATAAAGACTTCCCATTCAACCTCTCAAAATGTGGTTTCTCTGTTTGCTCACCATATAGCAAGAGGAGTCTTCTATTTTTTTTTGGTCGGTCGTGGGCTTGAACTCTGGGCCTGGGCGCTGTCCCACAGCTCTTCAGCTGTAGGCGAGCGCTCTACCACTTGAGCTACAGCGCCACTTCCAGTTTTCTGGTGGTTTATTGGAGATAGGAGTCTCACGGTCTCTCCTGCCCGGGCTGGCTTTGAACCGAGATCCTCAGATCTCAGCCTCCTGAGTAGCTAGGATTACAGGCATGAGCCACCAGCACCTAGCCAAGAGGAGTCTTACATACATGCAGCCCACCTACCACACTAAATATTAGTGATCTGTACAGAAGAGAAAAATGCTCCCCTCTGCCTTCCTGGACACAATGCTGGTGCTCTGCAAATTAGACTGATAAAAGATAGACTAGC